CCTCTGTGATATTTTTTCGTTGAACCACCAGGAGACCGACAAAATACAAATCAAAATTGATATTTTCGAAAAATGAAATATCTCGTTTACGAACTGTTTGCCAGAAAACCGTGAGAGATAGGACAAAAGTCGAAAGGGATAAAATTTACCGCCATAACTAGCTATATAACTTGTATGGATTTTATTTTAAGAAAAACCGTTATCAAGGATTTTTAAAATATTGTACTTAGATCAGAAAACATTGAAAACTCATAGTTTGAAATAACCAGTTTTTTGAAAAATAAAAAAAAAATTCGAGTGTAGAAATACTTGTATGAACAATGTTATTGAATTTGTTTGCTATTTCTAGATGTATATTTTTTTCATTTATTGTGAAATCTGCAAGTACCAATACAATTTAAAAAATTTAATTCAAAACAAAAAATTACACACATTTTTTTATAATATTTAATATTCTAGGTACTTTTAAAACTAAGGATAGTTATGTTATACTTTTCAGTTTTTTGTTCATCTTACTTGATCCAATTGCTTTTATAATAAGAACATGCCTGTATGGCTATGCATATAGGTAGCATATTATATATTATTTATATTTTTTCAGGTTATTCTTAGATCGAACAATTTTGAAAACCCAAAATTTGAAATAACGAATTTATCGAAAAATAAAAAAAGATTCTAGTGCAGAATTACTTGTAGAATATTATACCCTCTGTGATATTTTCTCTTTGAACCACCAGGAGACCGACAAAATACAAATCAAAATTGATATTTTTGAAAAATGAAATATCTCGTTTGCGAACTGTTTGCCGGGAAAACCGTGAGAGATAGGACAAAAGTCGAAAGGGATAAAATTTACCGCCATAACTAGCTATATAACTTGTATGCATTTGATTTCGTGAAAAACTGTTATTAAGGATTTTTGAAATATCGAACTTAGCTCGAACAATTTTGAAAACCCAAAATTTGAAATAACGAGTTTTTTGAAAAATAAAAAAAGAATATTATAACCTCTGTGATATTTATTCGTCGAACCACCAGGAGACCGACAAAATACGAATAAAAATTGATATTTTCGAAAAATGAAAACTCTCGTTTATGAACTGTTTGTCGGGAAAACCGTGAGAGATAGGACGAAAGTCGTAAGAAATAAAATTTACCGCCATAACTAGCTACATAATTAATTCAAAAAGATAGATAGGTACCTACATCAGAATGCTATAGTGAGTTAGAGATTAAAATATGCACATTGCTCCACTGTCGTTTAATTAGTCGACTTCAACGATGACAATTAATGAATACAAAATAATTGATAGTGTTGAGTTTGATACTCAATATTATTATTAATAATCTCTGCTTAAGAAAGAAAAATATATTTTTTTTAGAATATGTTTTATANTGTTATCTGTCACCAGCATAATACATCCGTCAATTAAAGTTTGTTTATCAATATCAACATTGTACACTTTTTTTCTAACTTTAACAATGCCATCAAGTGTACTTTGCCTAGTTGTCTATAAGCAATAAATAGTATCAAAATTCAAGACACATAATATTAAAATAATAAAAATAAATGTACTATCTAGTTTAAATTTAATTTCACACCTAACGACTTAACCTTTCAAGTATTTAAAAGTTAAATTTTAAATAGCTATCTAATTAGTAATAATTAATATTTGATTATAAGTTATAACATAAATTGTCAAATTGATAAATTCCAAATGATGGCCACATGGGTAGGAAAATATAATAGGTACCTTCAATAAATTATCATTACAATTTACAACTGTAGGTACGTTAGCCACTTGGGTAATATGCTAATATTATGTTACAACTTACAAACTTTCAAAACATAAAATTAGATTTAAGAACACGCCTATATGGCTATGCATATAGGTAGCATATATATTATTTATATTTATACAGGTAATATAGTATAGACTATAAAATTATTTTAATTTAGGTACTGCATATCTACCTTCACTTAATAATAAATTGTTAAATTAAAATTTTTAATTTTGAAAACCATATAAACATTTGGTAATTATTATTTTATTATATTTTATTCTTACTTTCGTCACTTTTGAACTTGTTTGACTCTTTTTTTCTACTGCCAACAACTCATACTGCTCCGGGTGAATTTTCTGAACATGCCTCTCTAAATTGGCAGCATGTTTTCCAACTAAGTTGGTAGAGCAACCTTCAACTAAGCATTGGCTCTTGTTTTTAGTAGCATTATATTTAAAATAAAGTCGTTCGACTGGATTTCTTTTCACCATTTTTATTTTTGATATAACAATTAATATAAAAATCAAATAAACAATAAATAAAAAGCACAAATGACAAATCGGAAACTGATTACTGATGAGATCGTGAGAATAACACAGAGATCAAAACTGAGAGATCAAGAGTTCAAGACTGCAGGACGGACGCGGATCGGCGAAATACGAAACCGGAAACAATAATTATTAATTATTGTAACAACTAATAAGTACATACTATAAATAAGTAATAAACTAATAACTAATAACATTAATGTATCATAATTTACACAAATACTTCAAATAACAACAATACAGATTTGTGATCACAAACATGTATAACCGCATAGGGGCGGACAAAATAATAATAGTTATATTATATTTTAATTTAGAACCAATACAATAAGTATATAGGAATAATATAAAATATAAATAGAACAATATTCGTATTACCAATAGATAATAATATTTCGTAATACTGATTAGTGATTACCTAAGAGCATCGGGATTTTTATTAATAAATTCGAACATTATATTATTTTCTTCGAATGAAAATACTCGTTTCAACTAGAATTATAAATAATATAAAGTTATAAAATTCGAAGAAACCGATATTGATTTTAAATTTTAATCGGTTTTTAAATTCTATGGTTTCGGTTTGGGTTTTATAAACGGTTTTTTAAAGGCCTCGGGTATCAGTTATGGTATTTTAACCGATGTTTTAAAGCTTTTGGGGTCAGTTCCGGTTCCGGTGTTCAATAAAGAAAAAACCGCGGTTCTAACCGGTTTCGATCCCTGGACTATGTTATATTGTGTCAAAATCACCAAACTGACTGAATTCAAAATAATATACTAGTATATTATTAATTAAATTGCATTAGGAATCATTGAACAGAGTTTAAGACAGTGTAAACATTTTCGGGAGCTTAGTCCCCAAATCCTTCCTAGATCCTACCCTTCTCAATTCTACGCCAATGTAGTTACAGGCTACTCATTACTTTTCAATACCTAAAATATTAATGTTGAATATAGTTGATCCAGGAAAAACTATAATATCCAATAATTGTAATATTTNATTCATCTGAACACTCCCTAGTGTTTAAATGGAGGTTGGGATAAATATAGCGAGGGAATATATTACAGACAAAATAATCTAGATAAGGTATCTAGATAAATTTATCTAA